AATGAAACTCCATATCCAAAAAAGGTTTAGGGCTCCAATACCCATAACTGTTTGAGGAGCAAATTTTAAAAAAGAACAGAGAAAAATCTCCTATTAAATATTTTGCACGCATAAAGAGACAGAGTACTAATGAGTGCCTGGCTAAACAGAGAAGGCAGGGAGAAAAAGAAAAGATACACATCAGCTAAAATGCAGCTTTCCCAGCCTGAGCGATTAGCTGGGGAAAACAAGATTTAGGGGCAGTCAAAGGTAAGTTGGGATGGGGCCCAACTATCTTAGAGAAACAGACGCAAGGGACTGTCTCTACGCTGACAGCACCGATTTCATCGCCAAGACATAGTCCAGCAAAACCTGCACCCCACTAAGAGGATTAATTTTCTCCCTCTTATCTGATTGTGATGTTTGAAGGATATTTCCACAACCCAAATCACAGCTCAATAGTCTGTCTTCCTGTCGAGAACCTGGAGCTCTGACAATATGCACAATTATCTTTTTCTTAGAGTCAGGCCACCACCTACCGTTCCAAGAAAAAACTGGGTAAAGGAAATAGCAGAAGACGGGAGGGGAATGAAGCTATTGCTCCTATGCTGGGCCCAGGACCTCTGAGGCTTTGGAAGGGGGCAGATTTCAGAATTATCTTCATGATATGGGCGTTCAGAACCTGTAGACTACACTGTTAAGGTTAATTTTTCAGTTTAAAGTATTATTAGGTGTTTTATATATCTCCGTATGTGTTGTAAATCCTTCATTGAAGTTACAGTCTCTCCATGTTATATATAGATGTAGTTTTTTAAAAACATTATGATGTCTCTATATGAAATTATAAAATATATGTAACGAGTCCCANTGTAAATCCTTCATTGAAGTTACAGTCTCTCCATGTTATATATAGATGTAGTTTTTTTAAAACATTATGTCTCTATATGAAATTATAAAATATATGTAACGAGTCCCGGTATAGAGAACTAGTTCATTCAGTCTGTTTATCCTGTCTTACTTTCCCTGAAGTAGGAGGAAGGTTGATGGGTCTAAAAAACTAGAGTTTAAAATTACGAGGAAACCCCAAGGAGACACAAAGGGCTTGGGCAAGCTTGAGTCTGGAGGGGAAAGCACTGTACTTGCAATTCTTTCTGTTTCCCATGTTATTTTTCTAATGAGTTTTCTTATCATATAGTCTCTTTTATTTACCTTTTCAATGCATCATTTTTTAAATTTTATTCTCAGTTAGTCGTCTGTTGGTTTTAGTCTCCTTGTCGCTGATTTCTGTCTTTACCTTTATTATTTCTGTCTTGTTTCTTTGTCTTCCAGGCCGGGGTTCTTTCTTTGGGTTATCGAATTAAATGCTTTATTTGTATGCAATCATTTTTCTCTCGATAAATGAACTGAGAGCCAGGAATCGCTCTGTGAGTTCCACTTTAGTGGTTTCCGGCGAATTCTGACAAATAGTATCTTTGGTTCCAAGAATTAAAAACTCCTATTTGATTTTTTATACAGGGGGCTATTTAACACTGTGAAGAGGTTGTTAGAATTCAGCTCTTCCGGTCTCCACGCTGGCTGCGGCTCTAAAGCTGAAGCTACAGGTGCCAGCTGTACCTAGAATGTCATATTAATTCCTCGGGCCCTTCTCACGTACTGCTTCTTAACTCTTCCTGCTGGGAAGGTACATTTTGCAATATTGAGTAAAGCTGAAATTTCATGTACACCTTGCGACACAGAAGGACACATGTAGCAGGACACTCACTGCAGTTCTTAAAGGATAAATTGTTAGAAATCAATACTGAAATGGAGAAATAAGTTTTGGCATATTTATAACGTAATATTCTATACCAAATAAACTGATTTAAAATCATATGTCAATATGAATAAATATTAAAAATATGATGTTAAATGAAATGGCAAGTTACAAAATATACGCGTTGTGTGATGCAGGTGATGGAAAGTAAATAGACAAAACAATACAAAAAACCCCCACATAAAACAGTATACGTTTTTATGCCGTTTATGAATTGACAGAAAGACCTAATGTAAATAACATAAAACAATAACATGATAATCAGGGTGGCTGGCACATGAGTACCTTTCACATAATTTTTGTACTTACTTGGACTGAAGCATATTTAATATATATTTAATAATTTTTAAATAAAAGTTTATTGTTATTTTTTTCAATCCCTTTTTTAAAGCAAAAGTAACTGCTTTAAAATTAATTCTCAAGAATTTTTACTTTTGGTTTAATCTGTAGTCATCTGTACATACTGCACATATGTAGTTTCTCTATATTATAGAATTTTTCACTTTGCAAATGCTAAAAGCAAAACAGAAACCAAAGTCTTTCTTGGGCCCTGGGGCTCTGGGCACCTGGCCTCTGCACTGGCCCTTTGGGAAGATAGGGTAGAGCAGTGGGAAGAGCATGGGGCTGGAAGCTGAGCTGACCCCCTTCCACCACAGTTCTCACACTTCTAATCTTGGGTGATTTAAGATTAGCATTTTAATCCTGTGAGCCTCTGGTTGTTCAGCTGCTAAGCAATGGCGAAATATAAAACTGCTAAAAGAATCAAAGGTTATCCAACCACGGAACCAAGCAAGTATCATTACTCACTATTGACATTATATTATATATTATTATATACTTATATATAATTGCATTAATTCCATAACTGTGATTGTACTTATTTTATATCAGAAATGATCTCTAAAGGAAATAAACAGATGTTCTTCCAAAGGAATTACTAAACTCAGTAAAAACTTTTAAAGAATTGATAGACAAATTGAGGTAGGGCATAGTATTTACTGTTTGAAAAAAAGGGATTTAAAAGCCCATCGTATCGTGCTCATGTGTTCTGTGAGTCAGGGACTCAGAGAGAACAGCGGGGATTACTTGTCTCTGCTCCACAGCATCTGGAGCTTCGGCTGGAAAGACCTCAAAGCCGATGGGTGAATGTTCGAATGTTACTTGTTTTCCAAATGATTTGGCAGAAAACGTTTTTAAACAGAGTCAGTGGCTCTAGTGTATTTAGGAGCTAAGGTAGTATACATGGCCAGGAAAACTGAAAACTGCCAACTGAAGATGAATAAAATATTAAGAGCCTTAGCCGGTGTGACCCAGTGGTTAGAGCGTCAGCCCGCAGACTGAAGGGTCCCGGGTTCGATTCCAGCCAAGGGCACGTACCTCGGTTGCAGGCTCCATCCCCGGCCCTGGTCGGGGTGTGTGCGGGAGGCAATCGATCGGCGTGTCTCCCTCACATCAATGTTTCTCTCCCTCTCTCTCTCCCTTCCACTCTCTCTGAAAAGCAATGGAAAAAATTCCTCGGGTGAGAGTTAAAAATAAATAAATAAATAAATTAATTAATTAATTAATTAAAATAAAACATTAAGAGAAATCTCTGAAAAGAGAGTATAACCCAAATAAAAAATAAGAGTTGATTTTGATATAGAGTTTTAAGAACTTGGCTATTATATAAAGTGGTAGGTTTATTTGTGATTCACGGGAAGAATATTTATTATCTTAGAATCAATAACTTTATATATAATATATACATTAATAAACTATATACAGAAAACCCAGGGCACAGGAATCTAGGTTGAGATCATACTTTACTTTTTCCAAATAGCCTGTGTATAAGATTAACTGAAGCACCCATCTGGTTTGTCTAGGCTTAATACCTATTTCTGTGGCTAATTAAAACTCCAACTTTCAAACAAATCTGCCCACAGCCGGATGGTCACTTTTTAAAACCATCAATGGGTGGCTGACTCATCCAGGTTCACAAGCCTCAGTTCTGTATAAAAAAGAAGTGGAAAACCACCCTGAATTGTAAGCAATCAAAACGCCATCCAAAACTAACAACACGGTTTAATTAAAAAGGAAAATCCATAGTAATTCACTTTTTCCTTTCCGCTCTTCACACAACAAAACCAGAACTAAGAGGTAGTACAGGAAAGCAATTAAAGCGAAGTCACCTTGTGCCCTTAGAGTGTCTAAGCACAACCTTTACCGATGAAATCATTAGCTTCAGATTTCTTTTTTCTCCCCTTTTCACACAGAAATTGCCTCCCCTCTTCCTGTGGAAACAGTCTCGCCTTTCCAGTTACCTCCAGGAGTCTAAGGCTCTCAGGGATCTTGCTCTTTCATAAAAACAGTAAGACTGCGCGGTCACAGGGCCATCGCCCGTTCAGTTAGGACCCTGGGTGGGACTGGAAAACAGCTAATTTCATGAACTGCCATCAACTTGCGGAACCTCTAAAACGGGGCAACAGGCCTGAAGTGAAACCCTGGGTGTGGCCGGGCGTGTACCCAGCGCCCGCTCCTGCAAAGGGGACCGTGCCAGGAGGGAGGGCCGGCTGGACACCAGCTGC